TTCCAGCTGGTGTTATTATGAGAAAGGTTAAATTGCCTTATGCTTGTTGTGCTATATTTATTTTTTGTGCTGAATTTTCGTCTCTTTTGTGCTGAATTTCCATATGTTGATGTTGCTGTGCTGAATTTGGAGTTGTTTCTAGTTTGAATTTCAATCTGTTGTTGCTGTATTGTTGTGTTCATTGAAGGTAAAATCTTAGAAAGTTCAATTTGCATGTTGCTGTTGGTTCTAATTTATATATCTTGCAAAAATACTAACAAGTCAACTATTTATGATTATAAATTTTCTGTTATTGACAAGTGAAAAATGTTGATTATAAATTTTCTGTTGTTCTAATTTTCTGTTGCTGACAAGTCTCATAATCATCTTCATAATGATCATTTTTCTTGCTATTTTTTAACAACAATCATATTTATTATATTTTTGTGAGGCAACTAATTTGTTATCCATCAAAATCATTTGGATAAAACCCCAAATTGGATATCCTCACTAATCAATCTGCATGCAGAAGATATTTGTCAAAGCCCATGATGATATACAAAGAATCCCACAAAAAAAAAGAAAAAAAAAGAAGTGATGTGAGATTTTCATTCGTGCATTATTATACATTTTGAGCCAACTTGAATGAAATAACCTAATTAAAATTGGAGTAAAATTGTATGGACTAAATTATTAAAATTGAAAATGAAATTTGAGTTAAACTATAAGAATAAAAGTTAATTTATTCTTTAAAAATTTGATGTTTCTTAATTTTGCTTGAAGTCGTGATGACTTATATGCTAAATTTGGACTAAAATCTAATTACAAGAAAGTAAGGTCATTCTTGTAATAGTAACTAAGCCTTTAAATGGGTAGGTATTTTAGAGATGAGTAACAGTGATGACGAATGTGGAATGATGATCACCATGGTGAAGATACTGAAGATGGAGGCAGCAAATTGCAAACCCAATAACATAATAATATGCTCTTAGCTACGGCAGCAACAGTTGCAGTGACATATGTGACAAATTATTTGATAAAAGAACTATGTATGGCATTTAGTTTAACAGGGGGGAAGTGGATGGTAGAATTACAATAAGAGAATCGGGCAAGAATATTTGAAAATTTTCAAATGGAAAGAGAAATATTTTATCAATTGTGTGATTTGTTACAGACAAAGTATGGCCTTGAAACTAGACGAAAAGTCTCGATTCAGGAGCAAGTTCCAATATTTTTGTATATTGTTGGCGGTGATATTCAAAACAGAAATGTCCAAGAAAAATTTCAACATTTCGGCAAGACTATTTCAAAATACTTCAAGAAGGTGTTAAAAGTTGTTACAATGATGTCTATTGATTGGGTAAGACCTCAACCGAGAAATGGTGTGCATCCATATATTTGAAGCAAGCGCAAACATTATCCTCATTTCTAGGTAAAAAAATAATTACAAGTGAAACTTGGGTGTTACATATAATAATATTGGTATGATATTTCTAATAATTTGTGACTAAAAATAATTTTATGAACTATTTTGTAATAGGATTGTATTGGAGCAATTGACGGAACACACATCAAAGCATATATATCTCCAGATAAGCAACCTCGTTTAATAGGTAGAAAGAGGTATGCAACTCAAAACATAATGGCCGCATGTGACTTTGATATGTATTTCACATTTTGTTAACCAGGATGGGAAGGAAGTGCACATGATACTCGGATCTTCTTCGATACAATTAAGAATCCTAGTTATAATTTTCCAAAACCACAAGAAGATAACTATTTTATATTTGATTGCTATAGTAGATGCACCACACTCACATCTCCATATTTATTTTTACATTTATAATTGCTTACTTTAATTTTTTTTTTTTTTAAATAGATGAGTTTTACTTGGTGAATGCTAGGTATCCAAACATGAAAGGATATCTTGCACCTTACAAAGAAAAAAGATACCATCTAACTCAATCTGAACATGGTCAACTCCCTCAAAATGCACAAGAAAAATTCAACCAAGCACATTCATCACTTAGAAGTGTAATAGAAAGAACGTTTGGGGTTTAGAAAGCAAGATGGCCGATGATAAAGGATATCTCACCAAACTATAAGTGGCCAACCCAAGTCAAACTTGTTTGTGCAACAATGGCAATTCATAATTTCATCCAATAAAGTGAGTTCCGCGATATTGCATTTGACTCTTATGATAGATTTACGGATTATGTGCCTAATGAAGAGGAAGGATCTTCGTCTCAACAAGCATGCCATGGAAATGATGTTGACTGTGATGACAATGAGATGGAAGTGAGAAGATAAAATATTTGTATGTCAATTTGCAAACGAAATTAGGAGATTTTTAATGGAAAAATTAGTCTAAGGTCCCTCTCCCATTTTTAGTAATGGAAAATATCCACAATATTATTTTTTGATGTCTAAGGTCCCTAAACCCATACCCATATATCATACTAGAGAAATTTGACTCTCCTCCGAAGAAACAAAGCTCTTCTTCGATACTCAACTCTCGAAATCATTAGCCTTAGACTCAGACCCAAAAAAACCCTCATCTCTCCTTTCAAAACCATTACTAGATAAAAACTTCTTCAATGCCCTCCAATCATCAACCTCATCAGCACGAGATGACCCTAATTCTCGATTCGAATCTTCGTTCCTACGCGGCTCCACCGCGATTTCGAAGACTTGTCGCCATACGATCTGAACCCACCGCCGAGCCTAGACTGGTCGAGCTCCTCGGCGGTTCGCTCGCGTGGACATGTAGGAAACAACATCAGATCTACGTTGCCACCATTGTTTCTCTCTCTCTCACTCTCTAATAGCTCTTGTTGTTTGAGCTGCGTATGTATATCGGCCATTAGTAGTGTGAAATGTATGAATTTGAGGAATTTATTTTCAGTAACTTTTCAAATCAATAAAAGACGTATTTTCTTGTGTTTTAGTCTCTGGTCCAGAATTTTATCTTGTGAGCACTTTACTTTGGTTGTGTACTATTAGTATATATATATATATATATTACACTTTTCATTCTTTCTTTTCTATTCAACTGATAAAGATTTGATTGGTAAAGGATTTAGAATTTTTTCTGGTACAAGATTTTGAATTTTCTCTAATAAAATATTTGAATTTTCTCTGGTTTTACAGAGAAATGATTCTACAAAAGCAAATAATTTTGTTCAGGGAAATTTCAATTTTATCTGGAGAGAAGGGAAATTTCTCTAGAGAAAAGGGAAGGCCAGAGAAATTCTCTAGAGAGTGGGTCAGAGAAATTTGAAAGTTTAGAGAAATTTTGTTTCTTGGTTGTACTTAGTTCTCTAGTACAAGATTTTGAATTTTCTCTGGTAAAGGATTTGAATTTTCTCTGGTTTCACAGAGAAAGGATTCTACAGAAGCAAATAATTTTATTCATAGAAATTTCAATTTTCTCTAGAGAGAAGGGAAATTTCTCTGGAGAAGAGAGAAGGTCAGAGAAATTCTCTGGAGAGTGGGTCAAAGAAATTTGAAAGCTCAAAGAAATTTTGTTTCTTGGTTGTGCTCAGTGTAATAATTTTGTGCATGATCTGTCTAGTGTGCACATTTCTCTTTGCATTAGTGTTGGTGGTGTTGTTGTTGTTTTGCCTTTTTTTTTTTTTTTTTTGGAGTTAAAAACCATAGCTGTTAGTTCTTTACATAATCTGGAAATTTCTTTGGAGAGAAACAGAGAATTTCTCTAGGTTGGAGAGAATTTCTCTAGTCTTGAATTTCTTTGGATAAAATTTCTCTGGGAAGTCTAGAGAAATTCTCTGGATGAAATTTCTCTGGATCAAATTGAGAAAATATTAGATGTCATTTATGCTATAAAATCTTAATACCAGGAACCCTAAAAAAAACCCATTTTTAAATATCTAGGAAGTTTTATTTTTATTGCCTTAATAGTAATTTATTGTATTTTTATTACAATGACATTTTTTTTTTGTTCCCTTGTCAACTCAATATATTAAAAAAACATAAAAAAAAATAAAAAAATAAATTTGAGGTAATGTAAAAATGTACCAAATTAAGTAATAATTAATCAACTTCCATTAATGAAATAATTTTTCCAAAATTTAAAGAGAAGAAAATGACAAAATTATAATTTTTTTGTTCATAAGAGCAAAAATGACAATTACACACACAAAAAAAAATTATTTTATAGCTTATTTACCAAACACTACTCTGCTGCTTAAATCTATAATCCCACAGCTACACCAAACAGGTTACCAACTTATACTCACAGTTATAAGTTCTAAGTTATACTCTGCTGCGTTAGATTCAAGCTGGTTTCTTTTTTTTATATATGTTACAGATTTCTTTAGATTTCTCCTATGAAAATTTAAAATTAAATAAAAAAAAAAAAAGTGTTTACAAAAATATAATATATACGTTTTTTAATTTTTACATTTAACGCATTCCAGTGCTTCACGCTCTTACCACACACACAATGTAACACTTCCACTGGAATTGAATCTACTTTTTCACTAAATTAACAAATACTTAACACACGAAATTGGAGCTCACTTAACACACGAAATTAAAACTCACTTTTATTATTTTTTTTCATATAATATACTTTAATAAATATTTTAAACTTATTCATTAGAGATACTATGATCATAAGACCTTTATAATCTTAAAACTTAGAAATTTAAAATATGTATTCAAAAGTTAAACATAAGCAGAGAAATACATCATGAATACATACACATTATACATTGTATGATATTTTTAAAGAAATGTTGTCAATTATATAGAAACATACCTAGAATTAAATAAGATTTAAAAATATTTCTATCATCCATGTGAGATATTAAAAATATTCCTTTATTAACAAACGTAAATTTCTTTATTGCTCAAAACATTGTAAAAGATAATTCAAATATCAGACAAAAATCCTACACCGTCATCTTTGTTCGCTATCCTTGTTCTACAAAAATAGAGAGTAAAAAATCCATATAACATAGATGATAACAACCATCGAGCATGATGAACTCAATCCAAAAACAATCATAAATCTTTCCAAAAGAACATAACAATCGTTACATCAGAATTCTCACAATGAGCTTTATTTTGGCTTTGGCTAAATAAACCAAAAACAAAAGATAAATTCAAATAAAAATTCTAAAAATGTAAACTTTCCCACTAAAATAAAAATAAAAAAATTAACAATTACCAAATACATCAATTTTTTTATATTCTAAAACAACAAAAAAGCACTTGTCAAACCCCACCAGAAACAGCTATTAAACAACCCATAGGAATGGGATCAAACACAGAAACAATAAACCTCGAAAATGGTTTCCAGTTAACAAGATGAAAATCCACTCGAGTTCATCAATGAAGCACATTCTCAAATCCCTAAAAAGAAGAAGAAAAAAGAGTAATGAAAATTTAGAAATTGGAAAATTTATGAATAAATACAAAGAAAAGCAGTGTATGCCACAACTCCATACACATAATTCGTACAACATTAGGGTTTTATTTTTAAATGGAAAATGGGAGGGGGAGAAATTATTTATATACACACCTATTGCTCAAGAGGAATCCACTCTAGTTCTAGTTCTAATTCTCCAGATTCCACATTCTGAAGCTTCAATGACACATCCTGTTTCACCTTGCCATCGATTATGTTGACGGTGCTATCCTCTTTGAGGGCATTGTCATTTGATTTCAGCCATTTCCCAATCTGCATGTTTCCAAACATTCCAGCATCTCCAAATGCCATTGCAGAGGTTATCATTGGTTGGATATCGATCTCAGCTTGTCCCATAATATCATCGGCTGAAAATGTGTCGTGATCATATACTTCCTGCAGCAAGGAAAGATCCAAAAGCTAGATGAAACATTATGATCATAGCATTTTTAAGGTTTAAAAAAATTGATTTATTGATCAAGGGATTTGTATGCTTCAAAAACCAGAAAGATTAAATTTATTTATTTATGTATTTGATAAACATGAAATTGTTCATTCATTCATTCATCTATATTTTATCAATTTAAAATGCAAAAAATGAGCTTGAAACTAAATCTACTCAAAAGAACATAACGATTACATGACATACAAACCCTGGAATTGTTAGAAAGAACAAATATATATATATATATATATAGAGAGAGAGAGAGAGAGCTTCCAAGTTAACGCAGAAGTGCAATCTGGAATCATTTACAGCAGTAATGTGAGGAAGTCAATCTGTGTGATTGTTTTATTTTAATGGAACTGTTTTCTACACAACAAATTTTTCGTTTTTTTAGGGTAAGGTGACCAGAAATTTTGTGACTGTCCATCAAATACAGCTTCAATTTTAAGGCCGAGGCAAGCCACTAGACACAGTGGATGAGGATGAGCATTGTGATGGTCTTGTCATAATTTTCTTTTGGTTTCTAGGAGGCGGCTTTAGGGATTTTTGTAAGGTAGACATATTTTTATTATCAATCAATAGAAAATAAATTGCAATATTATGAGAATTGCATCAAATTGAAAATTCAACATACAACCATAAATGTACAACAAATCCAACAAACATAAGAAATACCTAAAACAAATACAAGGGACACAACGATGGACAAAATTGAACCTCTAACCTTTTAGTGATATGCATGGACTCATGGCCAACCCAGCTAACTTCGTATATATAAAAAAATAAAAAATGTGGTTTAGGGTGTTCAAAATATTTTACAATAGTGCAAATACCTTCCAACAACATATACTATTATTAGTATTAATATTTTCTCAGGGTATTCAATTGAATACCATCAGTTATTTGTGCCGCTGCCCCTGCTGGTTTCTCAACAATAAGAGCAAACACTAAGAATGTGGGTACAATTTTTGCACATACTTCATGGTACTGTTTGAAACCAGGTAGCATGCCATGTCTTATCATTGGTGAAGCATTGAAGCATCAAAGACATTGTAATTATTATAAAAGAAAAGGGAAAAGGAAAGAAGGAAAAATGACTTATAATAATGAAGATTTCCTTGAAAAGATAGGCTTACCAGTTTTACGGGCCCAAAGTTCTGAGGAACAGAAAGCATGAGTTCCTCATTCCATACTGGATTCAAGTTGCTTCTTATTATGCCTGTTTGGACTTTCTAATAACAGTAACACAAATTTTTCAGAAATGAGAAGAAACCTCATACATTTCTACAGAAAAAAATTAAATCTTTAAAACATCAAACAAAGGTCCATGTATAAGATGCTACCAAACGAGAAGTACCCTTAGCAGGGGTTTGAACAGCCATTGAACCAAGTATACATTTTTAAGTACTCAATAGAGAACTAAAAGAAATAAGATGGCAACCCTTTAGGAGTAGTGAAAAAATATATGAATTTATTTAATTTAACTAAATGCATAACCCTTGATAGAGCTAAAAGGAGGAAAACGATTCATGTAACCGATCCCGCTTGATTGAGACACAAGGCTTAGTTTAGTTTGGTTTACTTTACTTATGAATTATTATTCTTTCAGTTTTATTTTTTGGCAATGTGCTAAAATCCAGAATTGAAATCTGAACATATAAGCAAGATTTACAGGTATGAACTGTAGACCTTGTCCATGCCCATAAGGTTCAGCCCTGAGGATAAAACAAAAGTGAGAGTGACTGACCTGCTGTCCAAGAGTCAGGACAACGTAAGGATCACTTGACAGCATATCTCTGACTGCTAAATTTATGCCTTTTAATACTTTGACCTTCAACATTCCAATAAATTCCACCATGCCTTCCTGTCATCAGTTTCAACATAAGCTTTGGTTATTTAAACCATATTGTGTTGATTATGTTGCAAAAATTCACTGATACAGTTGAACGTCAGTACGAGTTGGTTGACTTGTATACCTAATTATATGTTGTGTGAGGTGGGTGGTAGTGTTAAAAAAGTAGCAAAAGAGATTCTTGATGAATTTAAAGGAAGTGGGCCACCATCTAAAAAACTAGGTGGTGGAAAGAACTTCATAATATTCTCCTAAGTAAGCAAAATAAAATAAAATAAAATAAAATAAAAATTTCTTACAAAACTTTCCAAACATGTTGGAATAATGAAAGTTTTGAAAGATACAAAATAGCAAAACTAAAGCTAAGCGAGCAGTTACATGAACAGTTAGACAAGTAACTTAGAAAGCTAAGCAAGCAGTTGATTTCAATGAATCCTTTATTTATAGGAAATAAAACACTCCAGGAGAGAGGCTCTGGCCGGGTAGCACCATCATTGTCAATATAGACGAAGAGCAAAGGCAGCTTGAAGTCATAATTGGATTTACAATGAATAATTATGCAGTGCAGTGATTCACTGATATATCTACTGGTTGGATCATTAATGCTTCCGTTATTGTTCTCTTTTCTTTTTTATTTTCTCCTTCAAAAGTTCATCCATTCAAGTATTCACTTTTATACAAGTACCATTCATAAGATACACATGCTGCTACTGTAATGGTTTTACTTTGCTCCTCAGCTTATGTGATTGTTTCAAACACTTCAAGTGTCACAAAACAGTAAAATACATCTCCTTAACAGATTAATATTGTGAAGTTATTTGTAGTCAAAATTTGATGGCTGATTTTTGTAGAATAGAAAGTTCACATATAATGAAATATGTCATTCCACTGTCACACGAGATGAATGTATATGTTACCAAACCAAGCCTTAAGTTCCATCAAATGAGGTCGGCTACATGAATCCTTCTTCTCCACCCGGCTCTATCAAAGGCTATTTCATTAGTCAAATTAAGTCAATCCATATCTCTATTTACAACGCTAGCCAATGTTAATCTAGGCCTATCCGGTCCCCTAACACTTCCATCTACCGTCACTGCATTGCATCTCTTCACTACTGCCTCTGTTGGTCTCCGTTGAATATGACCAAACCATCTCAATCGATTTTCTCTCAACTTATCTTCTATTGGAGCTACTCCTACCCATTCCCGAATACACTCATTCCTAACTCTGTCTTATCTAGTCTTGCCACACATTTTAGGTGCTGATGATTCATTTTTTTATACCTGTTAAGATGTGGTGACCCATATTACTAGAGGTTATTTTGGTATATTCATCTTCTTTAATGGTGCCATATTTATTTTATTCAAATGAGGGTAAAATGGTCAATTTATAAGGCAATGTAGCCAACCATTAACATTCTCAAACTGCAGTTAACAATAGGGGAGGGCCTGCAAATTTTTAAAACAAGGAGCTCCTGCTACCTGAAGGCTAAACCTCAAGAAAGGTTGGTGCAATTTAGCCAAGAAAACAAACAAACTGACCAGAACCAATAAATTAATAAGACCTAGAATATATTTGCAGGAGAAATACTTGAAACAGCAAGGGCTATAGTATGCATTTGATCTAAATACTCAGCATACATTGCTAAATTAGGCATCAACCATGTTTATCAAACTTCATTCCCACAATTTGAATTAAAAGAGGTCAAAAAAATTACCAATTTCTGTGATGAACTTGAACTAAAAGTATCCATAATCTTTCTGGATAAACTTGCTTTGAGAGAGTTCTTCTTGGAATTGGAAGGAATTGACGAGATCCGCAAGCTAGGTTTCAAAAATTCTTGCAGTTCATACTTAGATCTACAAAACAGAATAAAATAAAATAAAATAAAAAATGAAATGGTACAAATACCAATATCAAGACCCTGTCTACGACCCATAGATCATCGGCCAAATGACACTAACCATTCATGAATTCAAATTCCATTTCTGGTTATGCAATCATCACAATCAAGTCCAAGATTTGAAGAGGACGGAATTTAAATAGGAAACACAAGACAGTTTATCTAGTTGATTGAAAGGCAAGTACAAAATGTCTAGTTACATTGACCAGTATGAATATCAAGTCAATATTTAACCAGCTGGTGACAAACTAATGAAGTTTGAATCAAGTGGGAGATGAAGAATTCAGAAATTTGAAGATAACCACGAGCATTAGGACAATACAAGGCTAAAAATACCTTTAAATTTTCATCTAACCTGATAAACTTTGCACGCTCCTCATGACCAGACTCTGGCCCGGGTTTAGTGTATCCTTGAGGAATAAAAGCCTCATAGATGGAATTAGCAGAAGCATTTCCTCCAACCTCAATCATTGCATCAATTTCATCATCAGACCACTCATCTAATGTCACAGACAACACCTGCACAGTTAAAGTTAATGTTGCTCAGAGAATTACATTCAACCTTGTATTCAATTCCCACTTCATTCTATATTCCAACATACCAAACATACCAAACATACCATTAGAGCATATAATTTCCAAGTGACTATTGTAGTCCAGAATCATTTATTTTTTAATTTTTGAGAGAGTTGTTGAGTCGAAGGCATTTAGACTTAGTGTTCTACATGTTCATCGATTGAGCTAGGTGCTCTGAGGATCGTGTTAGCGCGGTTTCTAACATGGACTAACGGAGATTTGGAGGTACGTAGAAGATTGGACAGGCATGGATAGTAGATTAGACTACAGAATTGCTCGGTATTAAAGTAGGTAGGATCTCTGTGTGTGTGCGGTTGCTTATCTTTATCTGCATAGTTTAATTGCTTAATTAAATTGGTAAAACCCGGTAAATCTGCTGAATTAAAAGACTCATATTCAACTTGAACTGAAAAATAATATAGGCTATTCTGCACACCTCGACTGAAAAACTATTTTTAAAAATTTGTCACCTCAAACAGACATATTTCCATAATAAAAATAAATAAATAATCATACATGTTCCTATGCATAAAGAACAACTTGAGAAGTGTTCCTGTCAATAATTCTTTATTTTTCTCTAGAGAGGGCAGAAGAGGAATCTGAGCAGAGCAGAGCAATTACCTTCGAGATATGGGTACCAAGGCTTCTGTGTACACCACAACATTTTAAGCATATAAACACCCCAATATTGGCTGACCTGAAAATGCAATGTACAACTGATTCTTAAACATTCATATAAAATATATATACAAGCCAAAGCATATTCTCTATGCATATCACTTCATGTCAAATCCTTTTGCTCAAAACCAGGGAAAGATATGTTTGAGACACCAACAGATGTGACATATAGCGCCAATATCTATCCTGAGAGGGTGGTGTCTGGCTCTGTGATTGGCTTCTGTGCAAGTAGAAGAACTGCTTATTGAATAACGTAAAAAAGAGGCTCAATCACAAGCCCTGATGCCTGTTTGAATGCAATTTCACTTGCATCACCTCCTATAGCTTTTATGCTGATCTCAACTACATCAAATGTTTCCTTTCCTTTTTATTTTATTTATAAAAAATAATAAATAAATAAATAAACAAACAAACTTTTTCAGCAACAATCAATGTTCTTGGTTACATTGATGCATCGATGATTATTGAACTCAATTATATGTTTCTCCCAAGTCAGAAACCTCGCCAGGAAATCTATCTTCCTTCTGCATCATTCCATTAGTTTCCAAATAAGAAAATGTCTTCTATGGCCAATCTCCTAACCAGTTCCCAATAGCCTTTTTTCAGGTTACACTTACTGCTCGATCAGTCCATTACAAGGTAGTATAATATAACTTGTACGTTTTTGTGGGTACTTGTATCAAGCTCAATACGTGGCAAGCCCTACAGGTGCCACATCACCAAAACCCCACTCACGTGGCTGACCAATAAGGCACCACGTCGGGCATGTCGTATGTTTGATACATGGCGAGCCCTATGGGCGCCATGTGCCAAGGCAACCAAGACTATATGCTTAGCCTAAGCGGGAGCATATATACAAGCCCAAATATATCTAGATATGAAGAGCCCTGCAACAGGCAGCACCATGGCCCCACAGGGCCCATGGTCTTTCATACCTCGCTCCGAGACCAAACAACAATACAATCAGCCCCCGGTTCACTTGGACTTGGATTGATAAGCACTGGCTCTCCTAAACATTAAAATAAGCCCGCGACCCATTCTCCTACTTGGTCGCTTAGAAGCGAGCCCCTCTCCTAAACATTGAGATAAGCCCGCGGCCCATTCTCTTACTTGGTCGTCTGGAAGCGAGCCCTTGGCTCTCCTAAACACTAAGGTGGGCCCTAGCCCATTCACCTACTTGGATGCCTCGGTTGGGAGCAGGACCCAGGCACTACTACTCAGGATCATCAAAGGATACTGGACTGGCGGCTGAGGTCATGGGATCGTCGAGATGGTTGTCTTCTTGCTAAGACAACTCCATTTCGACCAGGCTTGGAGGAAAGGCAACAATGACCTTACGTTCATGTCATCCGATGCATATACGAAACATTACTTTCCGCCTGCCATGAAACGTTGCTCTCTGCCTGCCGTCAAGCCACAGACGGCAGAAGGGCTTATATCACTCCTGGCAGAGTTGAGGAGAACGAGCCACCTGTCCAACAGTTTGCTTGGGCTCCAATACTCCTGTGGCCTATATAACGTATCGTATATGCAGCAAGAAACAACAACAATACAACCAAGTCTCATGCTTAAACACCCTCTTTTACTTTACATTAGTGTTCAAGGTCTATCACTGCCAACCTCTCCCTCTCCAAGCTTGCCTTGATCTCCTCCTCTCCACCTCCAGTGATCTCAGGCTATTGAAGTGCCCGCCATCTTCCCGAACTACCTCTAACGACACCTCTCACTCACAGTTTTGTATCACTCTTCCTTCACAGTAAACAAATGCTTTGCAATCTTGTTAAATAATTTACTCAACCAGGCAACACAATCAGTCGTAAACATTCAAGCCTCCTATGGAATAAGAGGTCTAAAGCAGTCTCTAAAATTATATGAGAATAAAAAAGGGATACAACTTAAGCCAAAAACATCAAGAAAATCAAATATGGCCAGAAAAGTTCAGCTGTAGCACCAATGAAGATAAGATACTATCATTAACAGGAATATCCTTGCAACATAGAGAATCTAACTGTGTCAAGGAATTGAAACTTACGCCCACTTGGGGTCTGGAGCACCGCAATCAGCACAAGAACGATTATCACTTTGAACCAATAGGTCTTTTAATCTTCTTCTACCTGCATGAGTAACATCCATATATTCATTTAACAAACTTCTAATGTGCTACAAAAAATGTAAGAGTTGGAAAGTAGGTAGAGGAATATCATAGAAAGCCATGAATTACCTTGTTCATAAAATTAACAATCACACTGACACATAAGTATTTGGAAAAAAAATCACATGTAATAGTATGCCAACATTTTGGATGTGAAAATACATTCCATAAGATTCACGGTACATACATTTGCACAAAAAAAGAAAACAAACGGGAGGAGAAACTATATTGTGATACTTAGTTGTTCGAATCGAAATTCTCATTCCTTTTTTTCCTCCCTCCATACCTTAGAATATCAGTCATATCAACAGCATGCAGAGGAACTTCAACTCACTTCCTGGTGATGTTCGGTTTTTTTTTTTTTTTTCATAATAGGAAATTGGAATTTGGCCTTTCCCATAGTGTACCTTCAAATGGAATTAATAATGCTAGAATCTAGATGTGCAGTAAAGCTTCCTTCTTTTTTTTCTTTTTTTCCTTTCTTTTTTGGTGGGCTATTGAAAGGAGTAGGGACCATTGCTCAGTGTAATGGAAAGCATGGGCTGTCAAGCATAAAGAGCCCGGTCCACGTCTTGTGCAGTCACTTCAGCATTATAGTGGACAGCACTCAAACCTGAAGAGTCAGGTTTGAGTCTGGGTCAGCCACTTTCTAAAATAACGCCAATGATGAGGATTACACCCAGAATACCCTCCCAACACCCACATATATTTTTTTGACAAAAAACACCCACATATATGAGACCAACATTGAGTAATAGCATTTCTGATGTCAGTAATAAGTGGGTTAACATCAGGCAAAGCATCTTTAAATCATTACAGAATTGCAAAGTTCAGGCTACCGCAATAACATTCTTGGAGTAAACTGAGGCATTTGCTTCCACTTCTGGTGTAGGTAAAAGAAAAATAAGTCTAAGTGAATAATAATAAAATTAGTGCAGGGAGAAAAACGAAAATAGGATCCAACACTTGTAAAACAAGATTCATTATTTCCCCCACAGCTTTACAAACTGTTTCCACATTATTATGATCTTAGTCATTGGCTCCTCATAAATTACAATCTAAAAACATATAATGTTTTTCATTTGTGTTCAAGTGATATGCATCCCAAGTGTCGAAAGTGTGTCCGGTTCTAAAATATTTAAAAATTAACAAGACATGTTTGGAAATGTGTCTGAAGAAACAAATTATTCGGTGCTCTTGGGGCACCTCATGCGATGCTCCACACAACTCAGAGACAACCTGTCAATGGTTCCCACTTGTGTGTCCCAAATTTTGTGGGCTCCAATAACAGGGGCCACTTATTGTGATTATGTGTCACAGCATATGTGGTGCATACAAAGCACTCAATAATTTTCTGTCCAGGGAATGTCAACACAAATACTGCATCTTTTTAGAAGTTCCCGTGCTACTTAGCCTTCCTCATAATATCTCCCCATCAAATTTTACATAAAATGCAAAACAATAACAATGAATTCTACAATTACAAAATGATCAAACTATATTAATCAATTTCTATTCTCAGTTCCGTAAATTAGCATACCTGAGGATGGCCTCCCTATCCCCGCTGGAGGTCTACTCATTGCTCCGTTTAAAATCCAGAATCATCCAACAAAACTTGTCTTTAATTTAACGGTCTACATACCCACCAAAAATAAAAATAAAAAAAGAAAATCAGTTATAGTGTAAAGCTAATCACTAATCAAGAAACCCAATGAAATATCTTCAAAAAGAAACCTAACTACCTACTTCAAATATTTGAAATGCAGGGTTTCTACAAAATCAAAAACATAACACAGAAGATCAAACTTGACCAATGCCTCTAAATTAAGCTTAAAAACATATAATCAAAAAATCATTCAAGACACAATTACATACCCATTAAGCATCAAGAGGAAGAAAACTAATCAAAACACAATGATGAATCGCAAGGGCACGAGTCAAATAACATCAGGGACATAATTAATCATCAAATGCTTCAGAGCAATTAAAGGAATCTAATCGTTAGCAAAGGCCACAGATCAATGAAATTAACCATTAAATTCAATAAAAATCGAACAAGGGAAAGAAATTCATCAAATCAAGCAGAAATGAATGAAATATCTGCACATGTCGTTGAATTCACCTGATAATTGAACAAATCTGAATCTTCGGCTTCCGATCAAAGACTGAGAGAGAGAGAGAGAGAGAGAGAGAGAATTTGGTTCTTCAAATTGCCAGGTGGTGGAGTGAGAGGGCAAAAGAAGAGAGAGAGAGAAGAGAGAAGAGAGAAGAGATGGTGGCGAGGTTTCACATCATGATTGATTCTAAGGTCCGTTCGGTTTGATTTTAACGATAATTTCAATTTTTTACTTATTGTTTTTGTTTTCAACGATAAAATAATGTTTTCAACGATAAAATAAAATTGAGTATATGGTGTGGTTTGGGTAGTGGGTAAAGTTTTTAGTTCTTTAATTTTTTAAATTATTTTAGTTAGGGGTTAAAACGTTTGGTTTAGGAAGGATTTTTTAATTTTTTTAATTTTTTTTGTGAGAGAAATAATGTAATGATTATGGGTTAGATGTTATGTTTTATCATATTGTGCTAAAAAACTTATTTTATTTTTTGTAACTATTTTAGCCAAAAAAACTCAAAAAACTTGTTCCCAAACAGAGGCTATGTATGATGTGATGTTTATGTGAGTTATTTAGTAAAATATTTAATATTTTAAACATTTTTTAATAAAATTGTATATAGATTTATTTTGGTAATTAAGAAAAAATATTTATTAATTTATTGATTTATTTAAATTATATTATTTCTATTTTTTTCGCATTTAAAAATAAAAATAAAAAAGCCAAAAATTTTGATTTTTTTCTTCTATTTTTCAAAACAGGCCATAAATGTATATTTAGGTCTCGTTTGGCAATATCACTTTTTAGTTTAAAAGTCAAAAAGTTACTAAAAAAATAAAAAAGTCAACAGCCTATACTAAAAAGTCAAAGTTTTCCTTTTTTCTTTAATTTTTACACATATTTTCGTAAAAAATCAAAAAATCATCTCAAAAATACTTTTTTTTTATATCATATTTTAGTTAAAAATTCAAAAAATTACTAAAAAATTCAAATTGCCAGGTGGTGGAGTGAGAGGGCAAAAGAAGAGAGAGAGAGAAGAGAGAAGAGAGAAGAGATGGTGGCGAGGTTTCACATCATGATTGATTCCAAGGTCCGTTCGGTTTGATTTTAACGATAATTTCAATTTTTTACTTATTGTTTTTGTTTTCAACGATAAAATAATGTTTTCAACGATAAAATAAAATTGAGTATATGGTGTGGTTTGGGAAGTCGGTAAAGTTTGTAACTTTTTAATTTTTTAAATTATTTTAGTTTGGGGTTAAAACGTTTGGTTTAGGACGATTTTTAAATTTTTTAATTTTTTTGATTTTTTTTTAGAGAAATAATGTAATGATTATGAGTTGGATGTTATATTTTATTTTATTGGGCTAAAAAATCTTTTTTTTTTTTGTAACTATTTTTGTTCCCAAACTCAAAAAGCCTGTTCCCAAACAAAGGCTATGTATGATGTGATATTTATGTGAGTTATTTAGTAAAATATTTAATATTTTAAACGTTTTTTAATAAAATTGTATATAGATTTATTTTGGTAATTAAGAAAAAATATTTATTAATTTATTGATTTATTTAAATTATATTATTTCTATTTTTTTCGCATTTAAAAATAAAAATAAAAAAGCCAAAAATTTTGATTTTTTTCTTCTATTTTTCAAAACAGGCCATAAATGTATATATAGGTCTCGTTGGGCGATATCATTTTTTAGTCTAAAGTCAAAAAATCACTAAAAAAATAAAAAAATCAACAATCTATACCAAAAAATCAAAATTTTCATTTTTTCTCTATTTTTTACACATGTTTTCGTAAAAAATAAAAAAATCATCTCAAACATACTTTTTTTTATATCATATTTTAACTAAAAATTCAAAAAATTACTAAAAAAATATATTCTCAATCGAGGCCTTAAAATAGAAAGTCGTTATTGCCACTCTACCTTACTTTAAATACATTTTTTTTTTGTCATTATTATTAGAAGTGGTCATACGTTGGGTTGGGTAGACAAGGGTGCGTGCATGCGGTTCGAGTGATTTGAGAGCAAAATTATTAATTGAATGACGATTTGATAAATTGACGGATTAACAAATCGCGATTTTGGAGGGATTGGCGACTTGAACAATATTCTAACCAATTATTAAATATTTGTATAATATATAACACTAATTTGTATAATATTTTTTATATATATAATACAAACTAATTTCACATAATATGTTTCGTATATATAACTATTAATTTGTAACAAATTTTACTTCTTAAATTTCTCTCAAACTCATTTTTATTTTGATATTTCATTAGAGATTTAAAATATATATGTATTAACTATAGCGGAGTGAAACGATTTCGAAGGCGGATTATAAATTTTAAAATTTAATTCGCAATTAGCGAATAAAGCAGTGTGGATTGATGCGGATCAGTATTGTTTTAGCGGATTGGACAGCATTTTAAACAGCCTTAGTCGGCACTACATAATAAAGGACTTTGTGTTTGTCTAAACCCAACCTAGCCTTAACATCGGGCCTCTAGATCTGCACACACTCTGTCCAACAAAAATATATAAATCCCAAGTCTACCCATTGAGCTATATGTTAAAAAAAAATCATAATTAAATTCAATCACACATCATATTTCTTAAATAAATATATTAATATAATTATAAATTAAAGAATTTTGTGTATTAATTAAACAATTTCTTAAATAAATTCAATCATACATACCACAAATGTGAGTTTTAATCAAATCAACAAATATAATTAATTAATTTAATAGCGTTGCGGACCAGACTGAGTTAAAAGTATAAATTTCAAGCTCCGCCTATTAATATATCGAGTTGAAAATATTGGTCCAAGCTAGCCTTATGGGCTAAAACAACATTCTCAAGCCTTAAAAAAATAAACTGGGTTAGGCAGGGTTAACAAGCCGATACCCATCCTTACTTATTATACATAGAAGAGAGTGTATTTGAAACAAAGTGAAATGAATTATATATATATATATATAAAAAGAGTGTATTTTGAATAAAATGAAGTAGAAATAACGACTCTCTTAAAGTATTCTTATTCTTCATTGTTAATTATGTTGGAATTTTAGTTTTTTATAGGCTTATTTTGGGTCAACTTTGAGTTCAAAATTGAGTGCGTCCCACACGTCTTTTGGGGTGGGTCCAAAAAGGTAACGTGTTCCTTGACGCATGGTAAGTCACACGGTGAAAATGGTTCGTCAAAACCATTTATGAGTAAATGGGAACATGACGTCATTTTCGGGTTCGTGGAATGGACATTTCAAGGAATAAAATGTGGGTTTCCTTGAAATGGATTGTCCCACAAGCTCTTTAAGAGAGGTTGTGTATGTATATAAGCTCTAGGTGGCAACACTTGGATTGGATCCCAAAGGGCACCCCAAGTTTGTAAAAGGAAAGAGTTATGGACAATGTGAACCTTAGCCCAAACCACCACACATGCGCGCCGCCCGTCAAGCTGTGCTAGGCGCGGGTGTGGGTTGTGGGTCGGGTCGGTTCCAACATTAATTTTTTAAACAAAATTTATTTGAATTTTTTCAAATTCTTGCAATAAATTATTTGAATTCGAATTCAAATTTTTGTCCAAAAATTATGCCTCTTCCAAATCCACAACAAATTCAAATTTCGAACAGATTCAAACTGTTTTTACAGGTTTAAAACTGCCCAGACAGATTCAAAACTGGCCAACAATTTCCAACAGATCTAAAAACTGCTTATACCTGTTCAGTTGAAATTGAATCTGTTCGGTTTGAAAGTGCACCTATTTGGACAGATTGTTTGGTCACCAATTTGCTATAAATACCAGGTTTTTCCAGCTGTTTGACACATTTTGATCATCCAGAAAAATTCTATTCCCTTCCATTTTGCTCTTTCTTTGCATAATTCTTCATATTAATTTTTTTTGGGAAAAATTAAGATAGTATAGAACATAGGTTTTGTTCGTCGTACAAATTGTTTGGAGTGCTACTACAATTTGTGAAGATCATTGTATTTTGGGAGATAGACGCCATTTTTCCGTAAGCACCGTAGCGGGATTTGTACTTTTACATTTCGGTAAAATAAATTCTGTAAGTAATTTATTTTTATTTGTTTAATTTGTTTCAAGTTATTTATTTTACACAGAAAATTGTTCCAACAATCTTAAGACATAATTGGATTATTCTATTTATACAGAATTTTTCATTTGTTTCATTTTCTTCTTTTCCTATTCTTACAGAAATTATTTTCTGTGGTTTTATAAAGAAATATTCTGGTTGAAAAAACAGATAGTAGTAATATATTGTTTGACAAATAGTAGTAATATACTATTTGTTTTCTTTGATAATTAGTGGTGTCATTAACAATTCAGAATATTTATTTGTGAAGTTTGTCAGAATTTAATTTTGGTTTTTAGAAATAATTTCTGAGTGTTTATTAATTAAAATTTTGTTTCAGTATTTTAATTATTGAAGTGCTATAGAAATTTAATCTTTTTTGTGGAATTAATTTGTTTAAATAAAATTTTATTTTATTTTCAAATTAATTGAAAATAAAAGTTACAATTCTTGTTTCTTTTATTTTTATAGAATTTAATTCTGTGATTTTGGTTTAATTTTCTGTGTAATATAAAATTCTAATTCTAATTTTGTTTAATAATTTAGAACTCATGGCTACTGAAACTGGACAAACTAATGTTCAAACAAGTACGAGTATGGTGGCTGCAATTGCGCCAACCTCTCCTCCTGTTGTGACTGTGACAGTGAATCACGATGAGAAGCCAGAGAAGTTCTCAGGAACTAATTTTAAAAGATGGCAACAGAAAATGTTATTCTATCTTACTACTCTAAACCTGGCGTGTTTCTTCTGTGAGAATGCTCCTACTCTGAACAAGGACGAAACTGACCGACAAGTGGTTGTTGCAGTCGATGCCTGGAAATATGCTAATTTCCTTTGCCGGAATTACATCTTGTACGGACTTAACAACACATTATACAACGTCTACAACCCTATCAAGACAACAAAGGAACTATGGGAGTCTTGGAAAAAAAGTACAAAACAGAAGATGCTGGCTCAAAGAAATTTGTGATTGGCAAATTCTTGGATTTTGTGATGGTTGATTCTAATACTGTGATCAACCAAATTCAAGATCTCAAACTCATTCTGCATGACATTCATGCAGAAGGTATGTCTCTTAGTGA